CAGCCAACACCGGGGGCCCTCTAGCCCCCAGCCAACACCGGGGGCCCTCTAGCCCCCAGCCAACACCGGGGGCCCTCTAGCCCCCAGCCAACACCGGGGGCCCTCTAGCCTCCAGCCAACACCGGGGGCCCTCTAGCCTCCAGCTACCATTTGGCTGTTGAATGCAGGATGCATGAGGAGGATCTCATGTAAACAAATCTGTGTAAGACGCCCAACAGACATTTAGCTTTAGCAAGTTTTGCTACTTCTACTAGCCTTTTGCTACTGTATTTTTAATGTAAATTCTCAGTTTAACTTCTTAATGTAATTTTTATTACATTTTAGTGAAGTAATTTAGAATTCACTGACTCTTTGCAGTTTAGTTTCTCTAGTTAAGTACAACAGTGAAGTGCGTTACTGAATTGAGCCACAAATTAAAATAAAAATCCTCCCAGAAGCAAAAACAGAAAGAGTCACCAGCCTGTTAGGATTTGTCAACATTTAACTTCATTAAAACAAAAATTAATCTAATTTAATGGTTCTAATCTGTGGTACAAGAACCACTGGTAACCATTTTCAAATTAAATAACTTTATTAAATCATAAAACCAAACAAATTACAAATAAATACTTGAAATGAAGTCAAAACAGATGAACCTAATCCTCCACCTCAGCCTGTTGGTGAATCATTAATTCACTCAGACCAGTTTTTAACCTGAATAAAGAGGAAATCCTTGTTTCCTGAACAACAAACCAGTGATTCAGATCAACTCAGCAACMACATGTCTGACATCATGCAAACAAACCGCAGTACGTTCTGACTGAAACCATGAAGCAATGCAGCCCGACCCGACCAGGAGTCTACCTGAACCAGAACCAGCTGGAACAAACACTTCCTGTTCCTGACAACTGATTTTTATTGAACTTTCTGAAATAACSGACTCGTTTTCAAAACATTTTCAGCTCAGCGTCTGTAAAATCAGCTGGACTTTCACAACATTTACCTAAAACTTAACAAATAACATTTATTAATTAACTACTGCTACATATTAAACAACTACTTCTACCTAAACAAAAATCACATCAAATCATGAAGGAATTCAGATTAAAGCCAGTTTTAGGTCACAGTAACCCAACAGGTTCTGATCCGAACAGAACAAAAGTCTGATTGTCTTGTAAACA